GGATGATGGTTGGATGGTTGGATGATGGTTGGATGATGGTTGGATGATAGTTGGGTGATAGTTGGATGATGGTTGGATGATGGTTGGATGATGGTTGGATGATAGTTGGATGATTGGATGATAGTTTGATGATGGTTGGATGATGGTTGGATCATAGTTGGATGATGGTTGGATGATAGTTGGATGATGGTTGGATGATAGTTGGATGATGGTTGGATGATGGTTGGATGATAGTTGGATGATGGTTGGATGATGGTTGGATGATGGTTGGATGTTAGTTGGATGATGTTGGATGATGGTTGGATCATAGTTTGATGATATTTGGATGATAGTTGGATGATGGTTGGATAATAGTTGGATCATAGTTGGATGATGGTTGATAGTTGGATGATGGTTGGATGATAGTTTGATGATCGTTGGATGATGGTTGGATGATGGTTGGATAATAGTTGGATCATAGTTGGATGATGGTTGGATGATAGTTGGATGATAGTTTGATGATAGTTGGATGATGTTTGGATGATAGTTGTATGATGGTTGGATAGTATTTGGATGATAGTTGGATGATGGTTGGATAGTGGTTGGATGATGGTTGGATGATGGTTGGATGATAGTTGGATGATGGTTGGATAGTGGTTGGATGATGGTTGGATGATGGTTGGATGATAGTTGGATGATAGTTGGATGATGGTTGGATCATAGTTGGATGATAGTTGGATGATGGTTGGATCATAGTTGGATGATGGTTGGATGATGGTTGGATGATGGTTGGATGATAGTTGGATGATAGTTGGATGATGGTTGGATCATAGTTGGATGATTGTTGGATGATAGTTGGATGATGGTTGGATGATAGTTTGATGATGGTTGGATTATGGTTGGATCATAGTTGGATGATGGTTGGATGATAGTTGGATGATGGTTGGATGATAGTTGGATGATGGTTGTATGATGGTTGGATGATAGTTGGATGATGGTTGGATGATGGTTGGATGTTAGTTGGATGATGGTTGGATGATGGTTGGATCATAGTTGGATGATGGTTGGATGATAGTTGGATGATGGTTGGATGATAGTTGATGATAGTTGGATGATGTTTGGATGATAGTTGTATGATGGTTGGATAGTGGTTGGATGATAGTTGGATGATGGTTGGATAGTGGTTGGATGATGGTTGGATGATGGTTGGATGATAGTTGGATGATGGTTGGATAGTGGTTGGATGATGGTTGGATGATGGTTGGATGATGATGGATATAGATGATGGTTGGATGATGGTTGGATGATAGATGATGGTTGGATGATAGTTTGATGATGGTTGGATGATGGTTGGATCATAGTTGGATGATAGTTGGATGATGGTTGGATGATAGTTGGATGATGGTTGGATGATGGTTGGATGATGGTTGGATGATGGTTGGATGATAGTTGGATGATGGTTGGATGATAGTTGAATGATGGTTGGATGATGGTTGGATGATGGTTGGATGATAGTTGAATGATGGTTGGATGATGGTTGGATGATGGTTGGTTGATGGTTGGATGATGGTTGGATGATAGATTATGGTTGGATGATGGTTGGATGATGGTTGGATGATAGTTGAATGATGGTTAGATGATGGTTGGATGATAGATGATGGTTGGATGATGATGGATGATGGTTGGATGATGGTTGGATGATAGATGATGGTTGGATGATGGTTGGATGATGGTTGGATGATAGATGATGGTTGGATGATAGTTGGATGATGGTTGGATGATGGTTGGATGATAGTTGGATGATGGTTGGATGATGGTTGGATGATGGTTGGATGATGGTTGGATGATAGTTGGATGATGGTTGGATGATGGTTGGATGATGGTTGGATGTTAGTTGGATGATGGTTGGATGATGGTTGGACGATAGTTTGATGATAGTTGGATGATGGTTGGATGATGGTTGGATGATGGTTGGACGATAGTTTGATGATAGTTGGATGATGTTTGGATGATGGTTGGATGATGGTTGGATGATGGTTGGATGATGGTTGGATGATGGTTGGATGATGGTTGGATGATAGTTTGATGATAGTTGGATGATGGTTGGATGGTGGTTGGATGATAGTTTGATGATAGTTGGATGATGGTTGGATGATAGTTGGATGATGGTTGGATGATGGTTGGATGATGGTTGGATGATGGTTGGATGATGGTTGGATGATGGTTGGACGATAGTTTGATGATAGTTGGATGATGTTTGGATGATAGTTGGATGATGGTTGGATGATGGTTGGATGATGGTTGGATGATGGTTGGATGATAGTTGGATGATGGTTGGATGATGGTTGGATGATGGTTGGATGATAGTTGGATGATGGTTGGATTATAGTTGGATGATGGTTGGATGATGGTTGGATGATAGTTGGATGATAGTTGGATGATGGTTGGATGATGGTTGGATGATAGTTGGATGATGGTTGAATGCTGGTTGGATGATGGTTGGATGATGGTTGGATGATGGTTGGATTATAGTTGGATGATGGTTGGATGATGGTTTGATGGTTGGATGGTGGTTGGATGATGGTTGGATGATAGTTGAATGATGGTTGGATGATGGTTGGATGATGGTTGGATGATGGTTGGATGATAGATGATGGTTGGATGATGGTTGGATGATAGATGATGGTTGGATGATGGTTGGATGATGGTTGGATGATGGTTGAATGATGGTTGGATGATGGTTGAATGATGGTTGGATGATGGTTGAATGATGGTTGGATGATGGTTGGATGATGGTTGGATGATAGATGATGGTTGGATGATGGTTGGATGATAGATGATGGTTGGATGATGGTTGGATGATGGTTGGATGATAGATGATGGTTGGATGATGGTTGGATGATGGTTGGATGATAGTTGAATGATGGTTGGATGATGGTTGGATGATGGTTGGATGATGGTTGGATGATAGATGATGGTTGGATGATGGTTGGATGATGGTTGGATGATGGTTGAATGATGGTTGGATGATGGTTGGATGATGGTTGGATGATAGATGATGGTTGGATGATGGTTGGATGATAGATGATGGTTGGATGATGGTTGGATGATGGTTGGATGCTCTCAGCCCACAGTTGGTCAGTTCAACCTCCAGTCAGTGTCTCCGGGTCACTCGGTCTTCCAGCCAGAAGGTTTCATCCTGCAGGCTGTTTTCCAGATGATGATGGAAAACATCAACATCATCATCATCATCATCATCATCATCATCATCATCCTGTTTTCCAGTCGCTCTTCATCCTGCTGACACACACTGGTGATGCAACCAGAAAGGTCCAAAAGGTTCTGCAGAACGAGCCCAGGACCAGACATCCTTCATGGCCTCACTGCTCCAATCAGAGTCTGGGGTGAAGCTGCAGCTCTTGACCTTTGACCTCCAGCTAGAGCTGGAGGAACAGCTCCGTCTGCCAGTTTTCCCCTGAATAGAAATGGTTGCTTAAAGACTGAGAACTGATTTGGAACTTGGTACCGACCCGCTGCAATGCAGACCCAAACCTTCCGACCCGGTTCTATTCATAACAGGACTGCAGTCCAGAATCATCAGAACCGCCTCAGAGGAAGCTTCAGTCGAAGAGGTCGGCGCCTAAAGAGGCCAGGGATCCTTCAGGTTCTGACTGGGTTCTGACTGGGTTCTGACCGGGTTCTGACCGGGTTCTGCCTGGACTGAAAACCTGAAAGTGTTTTGATGATCTCTGCACTCAGCGACTCGGCGCTTTGTGCTCTGCATACATATTCGTTCTTCTTCTCCATAATTCATGAGTTGCTTAAATTCCATCCAGATTTCGATGCTTTCGGCTCTTGAGCTTTGAAGCTCTAAGCAAATCGGATCCTGGTGGTTCTGTTGGGCCGCCTCGGCCGCTTTCCGCAGGGCGTTTATCATATCGGTTATCATTAATCATGATGGACTTCTGATCAGAATAATTATTTCATTTGTTGTTGTAACAGAAAATGAATGTTTAAAATCCCCAAACTTTGAGTTTTACTATTTTCCCAACTGTTTGTTCAATGAGTGAATCAATGAATATGATGAATAAGTGATTAATGGCGTCACTGTGAGCAGCTAGTGATGCTAACTTCCTGTGACCTTCACCCTGAAGAAGCAGATCAGAGAGATTCTGAGGAGCCATGTTTGGCTGGGGGGTTGTGGGGGGTCGTGGGGGCACCAGTTGCTGGGGCATTGGGGGCATTGGGGGCATTGGGGGGCGCCCGGTCACCCCACTGCCCTGCAGCGCCCCTCTGTGGTGAAAAGCAGCCACTGGTCCCAGCTCCCCTCCCAGTTTAACACCTTGTATCGGCTGTGTAAACAGAAAGTGGTTCTGCTGCGACCCGGACTGGCCCAGCTGTGAGCGGTTCTGGTCGGGCTCTCAAGCTGCTCTTTGTTTTTTTCACTTTCTCCTTTGTGGCTGGTTATTCTGCATCTCTTACTTTAACTAGGTCATGCTGCTGCCGCCATTTGGGTTTTATTGTTTTCTCTGCTATTTGGGTCGTGCATCACTGCTAGATGTGTTCTGGTTCCTCCTGGTTCGGATCAGTCACCAGTAATCTGGAATCCACTGGTTCTGTCCTTCTTTGTTGGATCTGATTGATCAGGAAGAAACCCTTCATGGGTTAGGCTAATTTGCCTTTTTTATTAAAAATCCCCATCCTGACTGCGCTTGACCCGGTTCTGACCCGGTTCTGACCCGACCTGCTGCTGCCTGGAGTTCTGGAAGCGACTCTGGGTTTTACTGTGAACTGATCTTTATCTTAATAAATCAGGGGAAGAAAAGCTTCCAGCAGGATGAGACCCTGATGGGTAGGATGGGCTAGTCAAAGTCCAGACCTATCAGCTGACATCGGGTAGAGAACTGATGTTCATGGAGGCAGTCTGAGCTTTAGCAAAAAGGATGTGAAACATGTTCATTCTGTAGATGTTGACTGCAGACGCCCGCCACACTTTTCAGATGTCTGTTGGAATCAGCTGCGCTGTGGCTGACTGCAGATCTGTCCTCATCTCCCGCGGAGGAGCTGATCCCTCCTCCCGGACAGATGGAGCTGGATGGGTGTGTCCTTCCCTCCGCCGCCCTCAGCCGCCTCCATCCGGCGGGAACAGCGCAGGATTCCGGGCTCAGATTCTAACTTTGGATGTCCGTGGAAAAGCCCGCGTGGGGGGAAGGCTGGATGTTACTGCGTGGACGGTGGAGTGATGGGAGTGTGACGCCGCGGAGCTCGGAGCCGCATCATCCCGGGCTGTGACGGCGCGGCGGCTCCGCCGAGCCGGGGCTGCATCTCCGGCTGCGGGGGAAAGTTGCTGCAGCGAGCTGCTGCATCTGCTGCATTTACTGCAGCGCGGAGCGGATTAACGGACTGCATCCCAAAAGCTGCGGAGCAGACGCGGAGCGGGGAGCGGGACACCGCCCGAACCGGAGGAGCCGCTTCCGATCCCCGTGGAGCAGCGCGCACCGAGCCAGGACCGGAGCTCCAGAACCTGAGCGCCAGAACCCGGTCCTGGTTCTGCTCGTGGTTCAGGTTCTGGTTCTGGGTTTGTCCTCAGCCGGCCGGTGGGTCCGCCCGGTGGGTCTGCGGGAGCCTCAGCAGGGAGACCCGGGCAGCGGCTCGGCTCAAGGACGCTCCGGGATTCATCTGCTGGACCCGGCTCCACCGCCGTGGATCTGTCCCCGGGGACTCTCGGCGAGGCGGCGTTTCCACGCGTGGAGCGGCTCTGGAGGAGGAGGGGGGAGCTAACTGGGAAGAGCTGGTTGGAATTTTCCACGCATTCTTTTGTCCGTGGATCAGTGGGAATGCCTTCCTCTGACCTGAACAGCTGCACCTGATCTCCGGGGCTCCTTCTTATCAGGGCACGTCACACACGCACGCGCTTCTGCCTTTTCATTCCCAGAACATCGGCTGAGGAGTCTGTCCTCTGTGGACGTGAACGTGGAAGTGGGGGAGGGGGAAGAGACGAGTTGGAAAAGCTGCTGATCTGCGGGGGCGCCGGCTTGTCATTCAACTCCCATCAGTTCATCCAGGAGGAAGAGGAGCTGGACATCCATGACGGTGAGGCTGTTATTAATGCAGTGTGTGTGTGTGTGTGTGTGTGTGTGTGTGTGTGTGTGTGTGTGTGTGTGTGTGTGGGTGTGTGTGTGTGTGGTGTGTGTGTGTGTGTGTGTGTGTGTGTGTGTGTGTGTGTGTGTGGGGCCAACAGTTTTATTTTGGTTCCCAGGAAATGAATCATTGTAATCTGAGGAGCCTTCACCGCTCAGGACTGGGCTGCTCGCTCTGCGCATGCGCAGTTCTCTGGGTCCAAATGGTTCTGGTCAGATCCGCAGCGGTTCGGCTGACTGACATCTCCTCAGTGGTTCGGTGTTCTGATTGGTTGTAGTGGAGGTGTAGTAGTCATGGGGGAATGTGTCCGCAGTGCATGTGCGCGTGCACGCAGCCGTCCGTTCGCGCGCAGCAGGAGGAGGAAGAGGAGGAGTGATGAAGAGCAGAAGAGTTTCAGCAGGAACGAAAGCTTTAAAATAAAAATCCCAACCAGATTAAAATGATACAGATTAAAGCAAACATCGTTAGACAGCCGACCGGATGCTACGTCACTGCGGCCGCTGGACCCGCGGTCCACAGCGACCTGATCCGACTCGGGTTCAGAGGAAGAAGCTGTGGACAGTCAGCCGACAGATCTAGAACTGTCTTCATGGTTTCCTCATTTCTTGCAGCTTCTAGAAAACAATTTCTAAATGAATCCAGAAGCAAACAGGAAGAAATGATGGAGAATTTTCTCCTTTTCAAACGGATCAGATTCTAGATTAGGACTTTCAGTTGTAACATAACAGACTGTGCATTTCTCTCTCCCTCTTCCTGCTCCCCTCACACGCACACACACACACACACACACACACACACACACACACACACACACACACACACACACACACACACACACACACACACACACGCTGCCTCATCAGCTCTAATCTCAGAAACCCATCTGGGAGGATTTTCCTCCTGGGTGATAAATGTCCTGCCACCGCTTTACAGCTTCATTACATCTGGATAGCATGCAGACATGCAGCCATGCAGCCATGCAGACATGCAGCCATGCAGCCATGCAGACATGCAGCCATGCAGACATGCAGACATGCAGCCATGCAGACATGCAGCCGTGCAGACATGCAGCCGTGCAGACATGCAGCCGTGCAGACATGCAGCCATGCTTCGGACATGAACAACAGGAACAGCTGAAGTTGCATCCCAGCAAAACATTTTCATGAACAGTTCTATTCCAGGTTTCTCCTGATCTGCAGATCTGGTGTGTGTAGCTCTATGGTTTTCCAGAAGCAGAAAGCTGATTCTGCACTCAGCCTCAGCTCTGCAACAATGTTGAATTCAGGTGTGTGTGAGTGTGTGTGTGGGGTGAAAACAGCTGGTTGGGTTCTGACTGACTGCATGTTGCTGGTTCTGGTTCTGTGGGTCTGATCGTGTGGAAACTCAGCTTCCTGTCTCTAAGAAGAATTAATCTGATGTTTAATCTCCCACATGGAGTTCTGCCCCGCCCCTCCGGTCCATCTGTCCATCCAGGCTCCGCCCCTGACCCCTCCTGACCTCACTAAGTATGGCTGCTCTCTCTGTCTGAGCCCATTCTTTGCTGCATTGTCCTTAGCAAAGACAATGATGCAATGGACCCGGCTGGTAATCGGAACCAAGGCTGATTCAGATTCAGAATTATTGAATTGATGTTACAGAAGAATGAAAACTTAAAGACAAAGTATCAAAGAACAAAAGAACGTACTTCCTGCTGGTTGCCACTTCCTGTCACATCAGGAAGCGGTGTTGGTTCTGGTTGGACCCGATCGGACCCGGTCCTGAGTGTTTGGATGGAGCTGCAGTCACATGACACCTTAAAGCAGCAGCAGAAATTCTCTGTTTAGGACTGATGGAGGCCATTCTAGACCCACATTCTAGATTCACATTCTAGACTCACATTCTAGATTCACATTCTAGATTCACATTCTAGACTCACATTCTAGATTCACATTCTAGACGCTGATGCTCTCTGTCTCCTGTTCATGTTAAAATCTTGCATGCTCCACTAAAGCATCCCATGTTGCTCAGTGCTGCAGCGGTTCTGTTTGTGCTGCAGCGGTTCTGTTTGTGCTGCAGCGGTTCTGTTTGTGCTGCAGCGGTTCTGTTTGTGCTGCAGCGGTTCTGTTTGTGCTGCAGAAGGTTCTGTGTGAACAGGGTGTGAACAGGGTGAGAACAGCGTTCTCTGGATGTGGCCCAGTTAAATCCTGATTCCGTCAGAAACGATGTCAGTTTGCTGCTGAATGAATCCAATCATCCAGTTCAAATGATGCTGCATTTGAACTGGAATGACTTTCCTGGAATGACTGCAAGGAGACGGACCACACCAGGAGGCTAAAGCTGCTCAAGGGTCACGGGGTCACAGGGTCACATCCATAATGAGGATGAGGAAGCGGCCGGTGTTTCTGCGACTATCAGCGACTCTCCAGAGGATCTTCTGAACCAGAAGGAGCTGCAGAAGCATCAGGCTGCAGCATCAGGCTGCAGCATCAGGGTGTACCTGAAGGTAAAGTCTGAGCTTGGTGTCAGTGAGGACAGTCGGCAACATCTGCAGCATTGGAACAGATTTCTGTGAGGTTCCAGTTTTCAGACAGAGCCAAGTCCACCTCTCTGCAGCTAACAGGAAGGGCGACGGGACCGCAGTCAGTCTCGGACCTATATGGAAATGGACCGTTGCACTCCAGAAGTGAAGGGGGCGACTATTTCCTATATTAACCATTGTCTCCTGTTTTTATGTTCTTTGAAATATGATATATTTTCCACCTGAGGAAGGATTTTCTCTCTCAGCAGATATTTGATCTTCTCTCTTTTATTTACTTCAGTGCAGCTCATAGTTTTCACAGATTCGTGCTTTTTGTGTTCTTCTAAATCTGCTTCTTAGTCGCATCTTTCCGGCCCTGCTGCTGCCTCTAGTGCGTGGGGGGGTAGCACAACTAATATAATTACATTATTAAATCAGAATACCACAAAGTCTTTATTTTTTACTATTAATCTTGGGATTACTGGAACTGTAAAAATATAAATTCCCTCTCAAATGAACATACCTTTCATTTTCTAAGGCAGTAGAGCTAATTAAATGAGATAAACAAAACCAGAAAGTGATTCTAGTTTCTCTCAATGACCAACCTGTTGCAACTGAGGCAAATTTGAAATTCCTGCCGTCGTTCCTGTTATTCAGCTCAACTTTGTTGAAAACACTTCCTGTATCTTTAAGGACTTTCTGAGAGACTTAAGAGGATCTAGTGACCTGGTTACCCAACTAGAGCTTGTTGAGCTAAAATGTTAAAACTTAACATTTAACTTCAGTTTTAAGTCCAATTATAGGGGCGTCTCACTCTTAAGCCAGGTCTATTCGGGGGTCCTGGAGAGGAGGGTCCATTGGATAGTCGAACCAAACCTGCGAGAGAGAAAAATCCTTCCTAAAGATGAAAATATATCACAAATTTAAAAAGGAAAATAAAAACGGGAGACAATGGTTAATATAGGAAATAGCGCCCCCTTCACTTCTGGAGTGCAACGTCCATTTCCATATAAGGTCCGAGACGACTGCGGTCCGTCGCCCCTTCCTGTTAGCTGCAGCGACGTCTTTCTCGACAGAGTGGGCCGAACAGGAAGCTCTGCCTGAACGCTGTTGTCGGAACCGCCATCACTGAACCAAACGAAACGTAGTGGAACCAGAAAAACCTCCAGAACATGACCAGAACCAGAGACCCCGATGCTGCTGGTTCTGACAGAGCTGGACCTTCCTGCTGGTCTGATAGCAGAACTCGCCCTGCCGACATTACCGCCTCAGATTAGAGCCACACAAAGTTGGGTCACATGACGTATCAGGTTGCAACCAGCATCGGGGGAGCCACTGCAGCCAGCTGACCCTCTGACCTCTGCTGAAACCAGCATCATGTTGGCTGGAAGGAGACAGAAAAGATGTGATGCTGAACCTGAGGACAGACACGATGGGGGACAGGACAAAATCAGTTTGGAATAAAAACCTGAAGTAGAAATCAGGAGCAGAGAGCAGACAGAACAGGCCCATCTGGATCAGAGGCAGGACGGATCTTGGCCCGGTTTGCTGACAGGATAGGTTCTTGACCCGGACTCACCTTCAGACGTCTTTCGTCATTAGCCTTGTGAGGCCCTGGACAGACCGGACAGTTGAACATCGACAGACAGGCCGGCAATGTGGGCGTGGCTTCAGAGGGGCGGAACCTCAGGGGGCGTGGCTTCAGAGGGGCGGAACCTCGTAGGGGGCGTGGCTTCAGAGGGCGGAACCTCATGGGGGCGTGGCTTCAGAGGGGCGGAACCTCATGGGGGCGTGGCTTCAGAGGGGCGGAACCTCGTAGGGGGCGTGGCTTCAGAAGGGGCGTGGTCATGTGCTGGTCAGTTTATTTATGGTTCAATGAGGGTGTGAATACTTTTGTCATGACTGGTTTTGATAACTTTCATAAAAACAATTTATTTTTCACTCCAGTTATTCTGAACTATTTCAGTTACAAGACAAGGAACCATTTAACTCTTGACCTTCTCTGGACGCTCTGCTCCGGACTCTTTCTGTTTCCTGTGTTTGTGTCGGAAATGCAGCACAAACTGAGGCAGCGTCAGCTGCTGCCTCCAAACGCCTTCGGAGCAGTTTAGTGCCGTCCTTTTAGCTAAGATTGAACGCTCATGTAAGCTTTCATCACGCTGCACGATTCTCTGCTGAGTCTCCATCTGCTCGTCCTCCATCACAGAACCAAACATTTCCTCCAAATCCGACCAGATGATCAATTCCTGGAGACGCTCCAGGAATTGATCTGGATGGAAGAGGAAGGAGCAGAACGAAGGTTCGTTTCTGGTTCTGCGACTCCATGTTTTCCCATCCTGATTGGTCCATCGGTGATCCAGCTCATCCATCCAGTGGTTCTGGTTCGGTCTTGATGGAGGATCCACCATCATGATCCAGGAAAAGTTGATAAAACAGAGAAGCAGAACTTCAGGCC